CGAACAGTACGTGGTGTTAAGATTGGTCCAGTGCTTCATGTTTTGGCTCTATAGCACAATAGTGTTTGTACATTACTTTCACCCTCTTGGGCTAAATCTCCTATATTTCTTGATTTTTCATTGAATAACTCCATTCTTTCCCCAAAGTGTTCACATCTCCAATTAATCTTATTGTGAAAGCATCTACGTAATGCGGGGCAATCGTCACCAATGAACCACTATGATGCTCTGATTTGCTCTTTCCTGCTTCTTGGGCTGTTTAAGCAGTATCAGCAGATGACATTATGTGGTGAAAGCCCCGTGGTTCTTCTATCAGTGTCCAGGCTGACAAAGATTAATACTATTTGGAGCATAGGGAGATACGATCGCTCTGTGGCCTTCGTGACCTCAGTAAAAGGTTTTTCCAGTACCTAAGTAAACGATGAGGGGTCTGCACTATTGTGGAGGCTCACTCTGCTCCTCTGAGGAAAATTCCACATGCAGATGCAGCAGAGAAAGTCATGAGATTTTCTCTATTCAAGTGTTGACATGTCGACAGCAGAGAAGAAAGCATTGCTAAAGCTGAAGCCTCTGTCCACAGCTGAGCTGCGTGATTTGGGACAAGAAATATCATGATTATATTTCACCACTAAAAATGATATACATGAAAATTTACTTTGTCCTTTCATGTATTATAAAATATGAAATATATCTTAAGCGAAAAATACAAGTTGAGACAAGTATTAAGAATAACAAAAAAAATGTCTGTCTGTAACTCCCTATATGCTATTACCTCAGGGGTTCTAAATTATATTACCAAATTGAAACTGGGCAAAGACTCCCTCCAATGTCAAAAAAAAAATTGTGACCATCTTAAGAGCGTTAAACTTATATTGTATATCTGCTTTCGGACTTGAGAGTAGTGCTTACAGTTGCATGTTTCAATAAGGAATTGCAATGATGGATATTGCATCTACAACTCATGCAAAGGTTATGTTTATGTTTGTGGTACTACATATATCTGAGCTTTTGCTACTTTATATCCTTGTACTTTGTTTGGTACAGCAATTTGAGTTGGGCTTTTGTATCAAACAATAGAAACCGTTGCAATGGCTGAAGCCATTGCGATTGACTGCGGAACAGATCTAATGTGGAATTTAGCTGAAAAATCCTTGAAATCCTTGAAACTGTTAAAATACTTTAAACATCTTTGAAACTCCTGAAGTAATTTGAAGCTCCTGATATCCTTTAAACTGTTATCCTTTATACTGGTTTTCATGTAAAAACCCTATTAAGTTCCATTATACTGGTTTACATGTAAAAACCCCTATTAAGTTGCATTATACTGGTTTACATGTAAAAAACCCTATTAAGTTGCATTATACTGGTTTACATGGAAAAATCCCTATTAAGTTGCATTATACTGGTTTACATGTAAAAAACCCTATTAAGTTGCATTATACTGGTTTACATGGAAAAATCCCTATTAAGTTGCATTATACTGGTTTACATGTAAAAATCCCTATTAAGTTGCATTATACTGGTTTACATGTAAAAACCCCTATTAAGTTCCATTATACTGGTTTACATGTAAAAACCCCTATTAAGTTGCATAATACTGGTTTACATGGAAAAATCCCCATTAAGTTGCATTATACTGGTTTACATGGAAAAATCCCTATTAAGTTGCATTATACTGGTTTACATGGAAAAATCCCTATTAAGTTGCATAATACTGGTTTACATGGAAAAATCCCTATTAAGTTGCATTATACTGGTTTACATGGAAAAATCCCTATTAAGTTGCATTATACTGGTTTTCATGGAAAAATCCCTATTAAGTTGCATTTACTGGTTTACATGGAAAAAACCCTATTAAGTTGCATTATACTGGTTTACATGGAAAAAACCCTATTAAGTTGCATTATACTGGTTTACATGAAAAAACCCCTATTAAGTTGCATTATACTGGTTTACATGGAAAAAACCCCTATTAAGTTGCATTATACTGGTTTACATGAAAAAAACCCTATTAAGTTGCATTATACTGGTTTACATGGAAAAATCCCTATTAAGTTGCATTATACTGGTTTACATGGAAAAATCCCTATTAGGTTGCATGATTACACTGAAGTCCTTGAAAACTGCTGAAGTCCTTGAAACTGCTGAAGTCCTTGAAACTGCTGAAGTCCTTGAAACTGTTGAAGTCCTTGAAACTCTTGAAATCTTGAAACTGCTGAAATCCTTGAAACTGTTGAATCCTTGAAACTGTTGAATCATTGAAACTGTAGAAATGTCTGAAAGAGCTGAAGTCCTATTAAAATGCATGGGCCTATTAAAATGCATTGCAGAATTCTCAATGCAGATTTTTGTCCGATTGCGGAAAAACCGGAAATCGCTGAAGTCCCAAAAGTAATAGCAATAATCTCCCAAACATGTGGAACGTTTTGATGTATAACTTGTGGAAATTGTTGAAAATGTGAAAGCTGTGAAACGTGTCAAAAAAAATGACGGAATAAAGAAATACAAAACCAATGGTTGACTGCGGAAGGTTCCGCAGTCAATCAATTCCGGTCATTTTTTTTGACACGTTTCACAGCTTTCACATTTTCAACAATTTCCACAAGTTATACATCAAAACGTTCCACATGTTTGGGAGATTATTGCTATTACTTTTGGGACTTCAGCGATTTCCGGTTTTTCCGCAATCGGACAAAAATCTGCATTGAGAATTCTGCAATGCATTTTAATAGGCCCATGCATTTTAATAGGACTTCAGCTCTTTCAGACATTTCTACAGTTTCAATGATTCAACAGTTTCAAGGATTCAACAGTTTCAAGGATTTCAGCAGTTTCAAGATTTCAAGAGTTTCAAGGACTTCAACAGTTTCAAGGACTTCAGCAGTTTCAAGGACTTCAGCAGTTTCAAGGACTTCAGCAGTTTCAAGGACTTCAGTGTAATCATGCAACCTAATAGGGATTTTTCCATGTAAACCAGTATAATGCAACTTAATAGGGGGTAAACCAGTATAATGCAACTTAATAGGGTTTTTTTCATGTAAACCAGTATAATGCAACTTAATAGGGTTTTTTTTTCATGTAAACCAGTTTAATGCAACTTAATAGGGATTTTTCCATGTAAACCAGTATAATGCAACTTAATAGGGGTTTTTTCATGTAAACCAGTATAATGCAACTTAATAGGGTTTTTTCCATGTAAACCAGTATAATGCAACTTAATAGGGTTTTTTCCATGTAAACCAGTATAATGCAACTTAATAGGGTTTTTTACATGTAAACCAGTATAATGCAACTTAATGGGGATTTTTCCATGTAAACCAGTATAATGCAACTTAATAGGGTTTTTTCCATGTAAACCAGTATAATGCAACTTAATAGGGATTTTTCCATGTAAACCAGTAGTATAATGCAACTTAATAGGGATTTTTCCATGTTAAACCAGTATAATGCAACTTAATAGGGGTTTTTACATGTAAACCAGTATAATGCAACTTAATAGGGGTTTTTTCCATGTAAACCAGTATAATGCAACTTAATAGGGGATTTTTTCCATGTAAACCAGTATAATGCAACTTAATAGGGATTTTTCCATGTAAACCAGTATAATGCAACTTTAATAGGGTTTTTTCCATGTAAACCAGTATAATGCAACTTAATAGGGATTTTTCCATGTAAAACCAGTATAATGCAACTTAATAGGGTTTTTTACATGTAAACCAGTATAATGCAACTTAATAGGGGTTTTTACATGTAAACCAGTATAATGGAACTTAATAGGGGTTTTTACATGAAAACCTGTTTATAAAGGGATACAGTTTTAAAGGTTTTCAGGAGCTTCATATACCTTCAGGGTTTCAAAGATGTTTAAAGTATTTTACAGTTTCAAGGATTTCAAGGATTTGTCAGCTAAATTCCTATTAGATATGTTCCGCAAGTCCATCGCAATGGCTCAGCCATTGCATCGGGTTATTAGTTTGGATTATAAATGACAAAAGTTGCTTATTTAGGTGGAAAATACTAGGAACCTTATGCAGCTTTTTGAAGTGAAAGTGAAGCAGAAAATGTACACAATTATTACTATTGACGGATTACAAAGTGCTCCCAGTTTCCTCCATACAGATTTACGCCTCGTTTTTGTCTAATGTTATGATAATTTTTAGTGAATTATGTGCTTGTGGCGTCTTTTCAACATGGACATTGTATTGTCACTCATATAATAAGATTGATAACATCCCTGACAAATGAGTCTTTCCTCATGGTTTTTTAAAGGGATACAGAATATAGCGATAGAGAAGAATAATTTGTATTTATACTCGATTTGTGTTAGGCAAGCTTATTGGTTTTAGCACTGTTTGTACACAAGCCAACTCATAAGTGCTGTACCAAAACAAAGTACAAGGATATATATACAGCTCCTAGATATAAGTAGTAAGACAAACATTCCTAAGCTTTAACTTTGGCAGGATGTTGTAGGATTTGCAATTAATTTCTCATTGCTATTCCTTATTGAAAACATGCAACTGTAAGCACTACACTCAAGTCGAAGTCAGATTTACAAATTAAGTTTACTCTCTTAAGTTGGTACATTTTTTTTTTTTGGACTTTGGAGGAGTCTTTGCCCAGTTTCATTTGGTAATATAATTTAGAACCCTGAGGTAAATAGCATATAGGGAGTTACAGACAGACATTTTTTTTTTTGTTATTCTTAATATCTTGTTCTCAAACTTGTATTTTTGCTTAAGATATTATTTTCATTATTTTAAAACATCGAAAGGACAAAGTAAAATTTTCTTGTTATCATTTTTAGTTGGTTGAACAATAATCATGATATTCTTGTCCTATCAGCGCAGCTCAGGCCGTGGCAGAGCTTCAGCTTTTAGAAAGCTTTCTTATCTGCGGTCGACTTGTCAACACTTGAATAGAGAAAATCTTCTGACTTTCTATCTGCACTCTGCATGTGGAATTTTTCCTCCAGAGGAGCCTGAGTGAGCCTCCACTATATGCAGACACCTCATCGTTTACTTAGGTACTGGAAACATTTTTCTGAGAGCACGAAGGCCACAGAAGCGGATTCGTATCTCCCAGATGGGCTCATTTGTATTAATCTTTGTCAGCCTGACACTGTTAGAAGAACAAGGGGCTTTCACGCACATTATGTCAGCTGCAGATACTGCTAACAGCCCAAGACAGCAGTGAAAAGAGCACTCAAGAAGCATCAAAGTGTTCATTGGTGAGGATTGCCCGCAGACGTAGATGCTTTCACAATAAGATTAAAGTTGGAGAGTGATCACTTTGGGAAAGTGGAGTTAATTCAAATGAAAAATTCAAGGAGATGGTTAGCCCAAGAGGTTTTGAAAGTAATGTCAATCACTATTGTGCTATAGGAGCCAAACATGGAATCACTTGGGACCATTTCTTATACCTCCATCCTGAACGGTTCTGGTTCTCCTCCCTCCTCCTCCGCCTCGTTCATCATGGGGAGCTGAGCCTTCAGCTGCTATGCTCCCCATGTCTGAAACACTCGTACATCGACTCCACTTTACACACTTAAAATCCACCCACAATATATCATCTGTTGGAACAAGCCCCACTCACTTTCCACCATATCTGTTTGTTGTTACAATGTTTTTTTATTTTGTATGTAAGGCGACCATTGTGTACAAGAAAGGCTGTCGATGAAATATAATGTATTATTATTATTCTGCTATGTCTAGTGCTGGACTTGATGCTAGGGCCGTGGTTGAAAAGTGGATGATGTAATCTTTTCGGTAGGGATCCTTCACTGTTACTGTTTCCCTGGACATTTCAGTTCGTGGCATTAAACTTGCTTTCTGGGGAGGCAAAACGAGAAGCTCTCACAAAGAATAAATATTTTTCAAGGCGATTTCTGAGCAAACAGTAAATTGAAGCACAAAATAAAATGTTTAATCCCATCTTATGGAACGTTCTGGGCAAAAAGCATTAAAGTAGAGTAGCTGAATTTTCAATAAACTGTGAAAGGGACAATATTGAAATCTTCAAAGTCATTCCTATCTATCCATTCCCTAACAAAACGTAACACAACGCTGAGCTACATGTATATTTGCATTAGCACAGCTTGTTAGGACAGACATTTAATATAAAGCTTTGATGTAATCCTCACATGCTGCTCAATACATCTATCAGGACTCACATGGCTCTCCTTTCTAGTTCACAATAGGTTAAATGTTTTATAATTTATGAAAATTCAAGTTGCATAAACTTTTGTCTCTCAGTTTTGTGTTTGCTGAAAGTACAAGTCTAAAGTTAAAAATGTTCTTTGTTACGTCTACTTTATCCATCATTTTTCAGAATCACCCACCTATATATATTTTTGAGGAATTTTACATATATGCATATTTATATATTGTCTATATGTTTTTCTGTTATGTTAATGTAGAGCTTGGTAAGTTTGATCACCTTTTGTACATGCAACATCTGAAGCGTCACTGCATCTTCCTGTTGTGTAGTACAATGTCACAGATTATGGATCAACCTACAAAAAGTCCTATACTGATGAAGACTGAAGGGGACTTTTGAATGGTTTGTTGGTGCAGGGGGATTCTTGCAGTGTCATTGTTGTTTTTTTGATGAAAGTGGATACCTGTGTTGTTTTGTGTGACAGGATGCATTCGTGAAGTGTCGTCACAGCGGTTTCTGCCGAACAAACAGGTGTAATTGGGACTTATCAGGGGGTGTCTGGTAACGGACAATCGCCCGTGTCCTCTTTAGGGGGTTTAGTGCAAAAATAACAGAGCTCGGATTTAATCATTGGACTTTGTAAAATAAATGTTTTGTTGCTTTCTGTATGTATTTCCTGTTACAGGTCCACAGTCCTTCTTGGTGTTAAATGTAGAGGAAGTTTACCTCTGTACATCCTTTCGTCACCTATCATTCTACATACTATTACACTTTGACATCTGCAAACAGAAACTTCCAGGATCACATTTTATAGTGATTTATACACACGTGTAAAAAGTATTGTGGTAAAAACATGGCGGACAACTCAATTACCGCCGTTTTGTGCAGGGAACCCGAAAATTAATCAAGAGCTTGATTCTGTCCTTCTTTGTCATTAATTAACGTGGAATCTTATTGGAATTACTGGGCTGATGCTTTAATGGCCAAAGAAACCCAACATCTCTTGAAACCGCATATGTGCAATGCTTTTTATCACTTCACATTGAGTACTGCTTGGGTCTTTTACCGATCCAATAAGCAATAACATGTGGTTTAGACTAGAGTTTACTTTTTAAAAGGAGGGCAGGAATTGGACTTTTTCTGGCTATCAAAAGTTGTGTTCTGTAAGTTTGGATGGTTTATCCCAAGGAAATCCATTGTATTTATTGATTTTTGTGTGATTAATACAGAAATGAGGCTGTTGTAATTCCTCATTGTTCTGGGAGTGGTCCGTTGCCGTTCTCCAAACGTCGTCATCTGAGCAGTTTTCCGAGGCATTTTGACTCCCACACAGTCCGTCGTTTTCTGATCCTGCTTTTGACACAGCTACTCTTCTCAGTGGACAATTGTTATGTTGCTGTGTGCTAAATAATATCACTTTTCACATTTTATACGTAGAGTAATTGGATAAAGATGGGCAATATAAAGATGGCCTTGTTTCCAGTCCACGAGCCAGTGAAGTCTTAATATGCAGGACTCATATTTGTATTGTATAAGTTCAGTGAAGTATCTTAGCCACTCACAGTCCATCGTTCCTTGGGTTATCATTTGATTATGTTCCTGTTGATCTGTTATTGTTTTTATAGTAATTCTGGATCCGACAGTGTATCATTTTTTTTTCAGGCCAAACACTTTCGTAACATGAGTCACCCAGTTCAACAATCTTGTGATGTAATTATAAGGATGGCTCTGTACTAGTCACATTGGGTCTAGTGCACAGACTGGAGCTGCTGTCGTTTTCACCACAAAAAAGGACGGCTTTCTTTTTGTCTCGCCAATCTCTGCAGACGGGGTGGGGGTGTGGTGGGGGGGTGGTGTGGGGGGTGGTGGGTGGGGTGGTGGGGGGGGGGGGGGGGGGTGTGGTGGTGGGTGGGGGGGGGTGTGTGTGGGGGGTGGGGGGGGTTGTGGTGGGGGGGGGTGTGTGGTGGGGTGGTGGGGGGGTGGGGGGTGGGGGGGGGGGGGGGGGGGTGGTGGGGGGGGTGGGGGTGGGGTGTGTGTGTGTGTTGGGTTGGGGGGTGTGGTGGGTGGGGGGTGTGGGTGGGGGGGGGGGGTGGGGGGGTGGGTGGGGGGGTGGGGGGTGGGGTGGTGTGGGGGGGGGGGTGTGGTTGGGTGGGGGTGGGGGGGTGTGGGGGGGGTGGTGTGGTGGGTGTGGGGGGGGGGTGGTGGGGGTGGGGGGTGGGGGGGGGGGGGGGGGGGGGTTTGGGTTGGTGGTGGTGTGGTGGGGGTGGTGGGGTTGGGTGGGGGGGGGGGGTGGGGGGGTGGTGTGGTGGGGGGGGGTGGTTGGGGGGGGGTGGTGGGGGTGGGGGGGTGGGGGGTGGGGGTGTGTGGTGTGGGGGGGGGGGGGGGTGGGGGGGGTGGGGGTGGGGTTGTGGTGGGGTGGTGGGGGGGGGTGGGGGGGTGTGGTGTTGGTGTGTGGTGGGGGGTGGGGGGGGGTGTGGTGTGGGGGGGGTGTTTGGGTGGGGGGGGGGGGTTGTGGGGTGGTGGGGTGGGTGTTGGGGGGGGTGGGTGGTGGGTGGTGTGGGGGGGTTGTGGGGTGGGTGTGTGGTGTTGGGGGTGGGGGGTGGGTGTGTTGGGTGGGTGGGGGGGGGTGTGGGTGTTGGTTGGGTGAGGGGGGTGGGTGGTGGGGGGGTGGTGGTGGGGGTGTGGTGGTGTGGGGTGGGTGGGTTGGTGGGGGTGTGTGGGGGGTGGGGGGGGGGGGGTGTGGGGGTTGGTTGGGGGGGGGGGTGGTGGTTTGGTGGGGTGGGGGGTGGGGGGGTGGGGGGGGGGGGGGGGTGGTTGTGGGGGTGGGGTTGGGGGGGGGGTGTGTGGGGTGGTTGGTGGGTTGGTTGTGTTGGGGGGGGGTGGGGGTGGGGGGGGGTGGGGGGGTGTGGGGGTGGTGGGTGGGGGTGGGTGGGGGGGGTGGGTTGGGGGGTGGGGGTGGTGGGTGGGGGGGGTGGGGGGGTGGGTGGGGTGTGTGGGTGTGGGGTGGGGGGGGGTGGGGTGGTGGGGGTGGGGGGGGTGTGGTGGTGGGGGTGGGGGGGTTTGGGGTGGGGGGGTGGGGGGGTGTGGGGGTGGGGGGGGGGTGGGGGGGGGGGTGGTGGGGTGGGGGGGTGGGGGTTGGGGTGGTGGGGTGGGGGGGGGGTGGGGGTTGGTTGGGGGGTGGGGGGGGGTGGGTGGGGTGTGGTGGGGTGGGGTGTTGGGTGTGTGGGGTGGGGGGTGTGGGGGGGGTGGGTGGTGGGTTGTGTTTGGGTTTGGGGGGGGGTTTGGGTGGTTGGTGGTGTGGGGGGGGGTGGGGGGGGTGGGGGGTGTGTGGGGGGTGTGGGGGTGGTGGGGTGGGGGGGTGGGGGTGTTGTGTGGGTGTGGGTGGGGGGGTTGGGTGTGTGGGGGGGTGGGTGTTGGGGGGGTGGGGGGGGGGGGTGGGGGGTGGGGTGGGGGTGGGGGTGGGGGGGTTGGGGTGGGGTGGGGGGGTGGTTGGGGTGGGGGGGGGGGGGGGGGGTGTGTGGGGTGGTGGTGTGGGGGTGTGGGTGGTTTGGGTTTGGGGTGTGTGGGGTGGGGTGGGGGGGTGGGGTGGGTGTGGGGGGTGGGGGGGGGTGGGGGGGGGGGGTGGGGTGGGGGGTGTGGGGGTGGGGGGGGTGGGGGGTGTGGGTGGGGGGGTGGGGGGGTGGGTGGTGGGGGTGGTGGGGTGGGGGGGGGTGGTGGGTGGGGGTTGGGGGGGTGGGGGTGTGGGTGGGGGGGTGGGGGGGTGGGTGGGGGTGGGGGGGGTGGGGGGGGGGGGGGTGGGTGGGGGGTGGGGTGGTGTGGGTTGGGGTGGGGGGGTGGGGGG